AAAAAAAAAAAGGTTTCAACAACTGGAAGCTGAGCTCCCTTCCCAGACCCAGTAATGAAAATTCAGTCTGACAAGGGAGAGCATGCATGTTTCCTCTGAAAAGGGTGGGGCTGACAGGCCGCCTCTCCACAGAATGTTAGGTTCTGGCATGCCCAGGGTGTGACCCACACTAGAGTGCTCCCTTCCTAGCACAGCCTGTCCAAGTTTCAGGAAATCAGGCATTTTACTGTAAGAACCATAATTGCAGTGATTATTCACACTACAAAGGGAGGCTTCCTTTGCAAAAGGATTTCTTCCTCCCCCAGCCTCTTGCCTTCCTTCCTAATAGCAACTGCTTGGTGAACAAATACTGAAATCTTTGCTTGTACAGGAAAGCAGAGGAACTAAGGCACTAACCTGTCCCAATTGATGATAAAAATCTCTCAAATTACATGAAAAAGCAGAGAGCAACTGGAAAAGTTGTTACTCAAGCAGGTTTTCCCTAAGTAAAAAGCAGGAGATAAATATAAAAAGGTGACCTCTCTGCTGGCCCCTTCTGGGGCTCACTTCCTTATGGGTGGGCAGCTAGGAAGGTGAGTAATTGTTGATTGGCTCCCTAAACATTTCCTGATGGGGAGCCTGTAAGAAGAAAAGAGGGGTGCAGTCTTGGAAGGAGGTGAGGCTTTCTCTCTTGAAGGAGGGGAAGGAACCTCCATGCCGAGGTGACAGTGCACAGATGTGGCCCTGGCACTTGTCCACCTGCTGAGGCCCCCCATTCAGTTTCTACCAGCATCTGAATATCATAGTTGGCAGAGGCTATGGGGGAGACGTCCAGAAACATTTGCAGAAATTTAAGGCTTTTTCTTTTTTTTTTTTAAATGGAAGATTTGGTGCCTGTATATTGCCATCTATGTATTACAATTCTGCCTTTATTCTTTTCACTGGTCTAATGTCAACCAGTATATTCTAAGCGGTTTCTGATCACCATATGAAGATCCTGCAGACAGTTACATTTTGGCGGTACAGTCTTGGAGAATTATGTGAAGACCTAGAGAAACTCTAGAACTAGTAGTTAAGGATCCCAAGCAACCTAAATTGTGAAAACGTGCTTGACAATGACTCTTGACTCACTTGAACTTCCGAACACTCTGATGCTAGTTCATCTGCATTGCCACACCCAGCTAAATTTAGATGTTGCTAGTCCATAAAAATTAAGCCCTCTGGGCTAGGGGTGTGGCTCAAGTGGTAGAGGCCCTTTGATCAAAACCTTAGTACCACTGGAAAAAAAAAATTAAGCCTTTTGGGGCTGGAGGTTTGTAACTCAGTAATACAGTATTTGCTTAGCATATGTGAGGCCCTGAATTTGATCCCCAGCACTGCAAAAAAGCAAAACAAGCCAGGTGCTAGTGGCTACATCTGTAATCCTAGCTACTTGGGAGGCTGAGATTGAGAGGATCTGAGGTTTGAGTCCAGCCTAGTCAAATAACTCACAAGACTCCATCTCCAAAATAACCACAGCAAAATTGGCTGGAGGTGTGGCTCAAGTGGTAGAGGGCTTGTTCTGCAAGCACAAAGCCCTGAATTCAAACACCAGTCCCACCAAAAAGCAAAGCAAAACAATAAAAACACCTTTTGAAGATAAGTAGTTTTCCATACATGTGCATAAGAAGTTTCTAAGAACTGGGAACCCCAATGTCTCATTCCTTCCAATGTGTTTGTTACCACCAGTGAAGGGACAGATGTGGTTGGCGCCCTCTGGAGCCCATAGTCAGTCCAACAGGAGAAACAGGCATGGCCAGTGAATTCTGTGCAGGGCATGTGCACCTGGCATCCAGCAAGGGCCTTCAGGATGCAGCCGTGGAGGGAAGAGATGGGAATGGGATTCAGAAAGGGACAGAAGCAGTGGCCCTGGGAGGTAGGAGCAGGTGCTGTGTTCCTTAGTAAAAAAGCTGCTGGGAGGAGGCTGTTAGACCACTGTCCAGATTTTAGACTCTATCCTGAGGGTTATGAGAAGTCACTGAAGGTTTTTCAGGGGAGGAGTAGCGTGATTAGATTGGGTGTTTTGGAGCAGGTGCTTTGGCTGAAATCTGGAGGACTGGTGGGTAGGGACAGAGTGTCAAGGGGGCAGTGTAGATGGGCCATGTAGTGGTGGTAGTAGCAGTTAGAGGGAGAATTGGACTGTGTGGCTCACCTGCTACAGGTCTTGGTGCAACCATGCCATGCCATGTCCTCCTGTTCCATGCAGGAAGAGCTCAGTACACCTGAATTCTCAACAGAGCTGAATAGGTTGGGTCTGTGTGTGAGTGTACCAGAGCCAGATGTGGCCCGGCACTGGGTGGAACTCAAACAGTGATTCTACAAGGCTTATTCCTTCAGTCCACACTGAAGTCCACATCAAGACAGCAATTACACCCTGCAACTGTCATCAGCCTGGGCTCCTACATCCTCTGCAGCTGAGGGAGGAACCTATCCAAATGAAAATACGCAATCATGAACCCAACTAAAGCAAAATGGGTAGGAAGTTGTAATTCCATCAGCTTCATCCTCAGAAGTTTGAGGGAGGGGAAAAGTAAAGTCTCAGGAGCAGAGCCTGTTAGTTTTCAGTGCTCAGAAAATAAGGATCTAAGAAGACTTTTTTTTTTCGTGGCAACATGGGTTTGAACTCAGGGCCTCATGCTTGCTAGGCAGGTGCTCTACCACTTGAACCAGTCTGCCAGATGGGTTTTTGAGATTGAGTCTTCCAAACTATTTGCCTAGGTCTGGCTTCAAACCACTATCCTCCTGATCTCTGCCTACTGAGAAGCTAGGATGCTGGGATTACAGGTGTAAGCCACCAGTGGCTCCCTGTTGTTTGTTTTTTATGACATGGTCTTGCTGTGTAGCCCAGGCTGGCCTGGGAGTTGCCATTTTCCTGCCTTAGCCTCTCCAGTGCTGGGGTTACAGGTGAGGTATGTGCCATTACACCTGGCTAGTTGGACAGTTCTTACAGCAAAAACTATATTTAGTGAATTTTAGATAGGTTTTCTTTAAATTTTTTCCTTACTGTTTTTCTAATATACATATGTATATTTGCTTGCTTCTAGAAGGAAAATATTAAACCTTATTACTTCAATATTTTTGAACCTTCTATTAAATTTCATTGATTTCTTCATAAGTAACTTTGTGTTAAGCTACTTCTTTTTTGACTACCTTATTTCCAGATACCATAGTGAACTCAGGTAACTGACAGTGATACCTCTTATGGTTGGGTCCAGAAAGAAGAGAATGTAGTAGAATCTGATGAGACAGCTCTTCTAGTGGCATCATGTTGCTGGCTTATAGTTGTATGTGGTAGGAGTAGTTGAACCATGGACATTGACATTAGGCTTGAGTTATGGTTTTATTGATTGTCTAGATTATTTCCAGTAAAGGAGAAAATGTTAATGCAGATTAATTTAAGAAGTATTGGCTGGGCGCTGGTGACTTACTCCTAGGTACTCGGGAGGCAGAAATCAGGAGATTGTGGTTTGAAGCCAGCCTGGACATGTTTTATCTATTGCCGTTACATTGTGAATAACTCAGAAATTGAAACTGGAGAAAATATTCTTCAAGTAGTCAAAGCCATTATCCAGTTCTGTCATGCAAATGGCATCTGTGGCTGATCCTCGGAGCCCAAGTCCAAGCCGCTGCTTCCTCCCTGTGGGAGTGGCCAAGAATACCACGAGTAGTCAAGTACAGACATGGGATGAGACAAGACCAGCTGCAGGGGCAGGCGTTGGTCCCCATGGCCAGCAGGTCCTTCCGGCGGGGCCGCTGATGCATGCATCTTTTTGGTATTGGTGCAAGTTCCCCTCCCTCCCCTCCCTGTTTTGTAGGGTTGGCAGGTGCCCTGTGTCAAACACATTTAAGCACCACCAAGGAATACACATCAGGTCTGAAACAGGGACAGGTTTTTCCACCCAGGGGGATAATCATAATCCCTGCGCAGGTGGTGAGCACACTCACTTTGGTAAGGAAGAGTTTCTCGTTTAGGGGGCCAAGAAGGGTCGGTAGACTTCGCACATAAGACTGCCTTTTCCTCCAAACAGCAGAGAAATTGCTTATGCCAATGACAAGTAACTGAAGGCCCAACATTACTCTTGTATTTGGTGCTGGCATCAAACCCAGTTCCTTGTACATGCTAAGCATATGTTCTACCACTGAACTATATTGCTCTCCCCGTTTTTTCACTTTCATCCCACTTTTTAATATCAAGTGACATTTGTTTCTGGTCTCTATTGGTTAATCAGTTGTGTTCATGAACCCATGACCAATAGTGCAAGAATTTGGCAGAAGTCAGTGAAATAGCACTACAAATCTACTAGGGTGGTTGTAATAATAATAATAAAAAAATTAAGTGGGGAGAGATGGCCCAAATAATGTATGCATATAAGAATAAATGAATAAATAAACCAAAAAAAAGAAAAAATATATAAGTAAATGAAAAAAAAAATTAGACAATGAGCTCAGCGTCAGTGGCTCATACCTGTAATCCTATTTACTTGGGAGGCTGAGATTGGGAGGACTGTGGTCTTTGCTGGCCTGGGGCAAAAAGCGGGCCCTGTCTTCAAAATAACCAGAGCAAAAAGGGATGAAGGCATGGCTCAAGTGGTAGCCTGCCTAGCATGAAGCCCTGAGTTCAAATCTCAGTATCGCACACACAAAAAAGTTAATGAGCCTGGCATGGTGGTATGTACTTGTAATCCCAGCACTTGGGAAGTGGAGGTAGGAGGAGCATAAAATTTGAGGCCAACCTGGGCTGCATAGTGAGTTTGAAGCCATCCTGGCCTATTTAGTGAGACCTGCCTCCAAAAAAAGAATTAATAAAGGTAGTTTATATGAACTTCATTTGGCCATGTGGAATTTATAAGTAAAGATGTACTTTATTATTATGTGAAAATTGTATGCTGTGCATCCCTGTATCAGTAAAAGTTCTGCAACAGCATGCATCTGCTAGCATTTTCTGATATACTGCTGCTAGAGTGGTCTTCACCAAGCTCCTCAGCTCTGTCCCCATGCCTGCTCTCTGTTCCCGTCTCTACAGCCCCCATGGTTATCTCCACTGCTCACAGCGAGTGGCTCATTCTTATAGCCCCCACCTTCCCATGGGGGCCTTAAGAGTTTAGGCTCATGATTGCTCTGTAAATGCAGATTGCATGCATTTTGTGGTAATAATTGTCACCAAATTTTAAACTCATTACTATATAGCTTACTCTCTCTTTTCTTTTTTTTTTTTTTTTATGGCGGAACTGGGGTTTGAATGGTCGCTTGAGGGGGGATGGTGGAATGGCTCAAGTGGTAGAGCACCTGCCCAGCAAGCATGAGGTCCTATGTTAAAACCCCAAAACCACCAGAAAAAAAAGAAAAAGAAATGGTCACTATTTGGTATAATATTAGGGGATTATACATTTTTCCATTTTTAAAATTAACTTTACTAAGGTCTAATTTATATATAATAAAGTGAGTATATCCATTTTTACTGTGCTTCAGTGACTTGTGAAATAAAATTATTAATCTGAGCACTCACCATCCCACTGAGATCTAGAACATCACTCTTGAAAGTTCTGAATGTCATACAAGTGAAATTGCAGTGTTTCCCCTCTTGTGCCCCGCTCTTTCCTCCATGTGTTTTGAAGTTCCTCCCTGTTGAGTGCCTCAGTGGGCTTTTCTGTGGCTAAGTGCTTTCCTAGCTATCTGTGGAGGGAGGGCTCATGGGAGCTGCTCTGTTGGTGGTAGATCCAAAGGTTTGGATTTTACAAAATAAGCCTCTCCTAAGAGGCTTCTAAATTGCATAACATTTGTTTTTTTCCCCCTCAATTTCAGTTACACTGACAAATGGAAGTTAGTCTTTTGATTTTCAAGAGATTATTATTTTTTTTTGTATGTCAGGTTAATTGAAGTCCCATTTAATTACAGTAGAATTCACTCCTGACAAATGTGTACACAAGTCAAGGTACAGAACGTTTTCATCACCCACATTCTTTGCAGTCTTCCTCCCCTCCACCTGGTACCTCTTCTTTCCAGGATGTCGTATAAGTAGAATCACACAATGTGCATCTTTTACAGTTACTAGCAAAGTGCATTTTTGGTTTTTTGGTGGTGATATTAGGGTTTGAGTTAACTTGCTAAGTAGGTGCTCTACCACTTTAGCCACATCCCCTGCTCTAGCATAGTATGTTTGAGATTCACACTGTAGTGGCCATGGTGTAGACCCACCATGCTTTGACTTTTCTATTTACCAGGGAAGGACATTTGGGCTGCTTCCAGATTTGAACAGTTATATTTATAACCTTTATAATATTAGAGACTTTTCTGACAATCACATACAGGTTTTTATGTGAACATGTATATCCATTCTTCTTGGTAAACACCTAGGAAGAGGGTTACTGGGTCCTATGTTATGTGTGTCTGACTTTGGGATGATCTGCCGACTTGTTTCCAAAGTAGATGTGCCTCTTACCTTCCCACCAGCAAAGGATAAGGGCTGAGTTGTTTTTTAGCCTTGAGAGCACTTGGGATGCAGTAATTTTTGCTTTAACCATTCTAATGGGTTTAGTGTAGCTCATTGTGGTTTTGATTTACATTTCCCTAAGGACGATGATGTTGAGCATGGTTTTTGTGGTGGTGGTGTTTTTGAGACAGGGTCTTACTATGTAGCCTAGGCTGGCTTCGAACTTGCAATCCTCCTGCCTCTGCCTTCCTAATGTTGGGATTACAAACATGCATCAACATGCCCTGCCTAGTTGAACATGTTTTTATTTGTATTTGCCACCTGTTTATCTTCTTGATAAAAAATTGTCCTTTATTTATTTATTTTTTGGTGGTACTGGGTTTTGAACTCAGGATCTCACCCTTGCTAGGCAGACATTCTACCACTTGAGCCACTCCCCCAGCCCTTGGTGAATTTTTTGTTTTTTTTGTAGTGCTGAGTCTTGAACTCAAAGCCTTCACCTTGAGCCATTCTGCCAGCCCTTGTTTGTGATGGGTATTTTTGAGATAGGGTCTTACTATTTGCCTGGGCTGACTTCAAACCTCAGTCCTCCTGATCTCTGCCTCATGAGTAGCTAGGATTATAGGCGTGAGCCACCAGTGCCCAGCCTTTGGCGAAATTTTTGTTCAGATATTTTGCCCATTTTTAAACCGGGTTATCTCTTTCTTATTGAGGGTTTTTGTTTTTTGTTTTTTTTCTCAGTACTGGGAGTTGAACTCTTGAACTCAAGGACTCACTCTTGCAAGGCAGGTGCTCTTTCACCTGAGCCACTCCATTGGCCTTCTTATTACTGAGTTTAGAATGATCTTTATTTATTCTGGAAACAAGCCTTTTTTTGCGGGGCATACATATCATCTCATTTTCTGTGGCTTATCATCTCATTTTCTGAATTGCAAAACATCTTGACTTTGGTGAAGTCCAGTTTGTCTATTTTGTTTTATGGATTATGCTTTCACTGTATCTAAGAAACCTTTGCCTAATATAAGGTTGCAAAAGTTTTCTCATATGTTTTCTTTTAGTTTTATAATTTTAGATTTTATGTTGGTGCTGGGACTTGAATTCAGGGCCTTGTGCTTGCTAGGCAGGAGCTGTCCACTTGAGCCACTCCTCCAGTCCTTGAGTCAATTTTCCCACATGGTGCAGGTTGAATGAGATGGGGATGATGATGATGATTCTTCCTTCTCCTCTTCTTTGTAGAATTACCCCAATTGAACTTATTTTAATTTTGAAATCTCGGCACATTGTAGTATTACAAAGAATAAGATGAGGAGGGGCTTTAATAAGTACAGATTGTTTATTTTATGGCACTAGAGGCTTATTTAATTGTGTGTTAATCTCATGTGTTTTGTTGAAGGTCTCAAGGTTCTGCCCTCCAAGAAAATCTTGCCGTGATTGGATAGGACCTCCAGATAAATATTCAAACCTTCGACCTGTTCACTTTTACATCCCTGAGAATGAATCACCATTGGAGCAAAAGCTTAGAGAGTTAAGACAAGAAACACAAGAATGGAATCAACAGTTCTGGGCTAACCAGAATTTGACTTTTATTAAGGTCAGTGTGGGTTTCAGATCAGAATGAGAAATAATACGTTTAGCCACTTGGGGGTGCTAAATCTCTGGCATTTGCATTGTATTTGTTTGGTGCTTCATTCCCCCAGAGAGAGAGAGAGAGAGAGAGAGAGAGAGAGAGAGAGAGACAGAGAGAGAGAGACAGAGAGAGAGAAAGAGAGACAGAGAGAGAGAGAGAGAGAGAGAGAGTGTGTGTGTGTGTGTGTGTGTGTAACTTTTTAAGCCATTATGTAGCTGTACACAAGAAGCATTGGCCATTTGTAAATCACAGACCTTGAGGTTTTCAAGGTATGAAGGTGAGCCATAACTAGAAGTGCCTGTCCTACTTTGTGTGTTTGTGTGTTTATGAACATTCAGTGTGATGTGTCATCATTATTCCTGAGACTTCAAAATTCTTCAAAATTCTTAATGACTTACTCATAAATGAGCTATATGAGAAAGAAGTATAAATATCCTAACAGAGAGGAAAAACATTCAGACTTTGTTTATCCCCTTGGATATTTATTGTATTCTGTGGATTTATAAACAAACTGCCTCCCAAAGTTTGTTAAATGTCTTGTTTTCAAATCCTGTTTCAACCATGAAACTTTTACCAGGTTGATGGTTTAAAACAGGTTTTGAGATGGTCCGTTGTTCAGGAAATCCACATCAGATCTCTTCAGAACACTTCAAGCTGTGCTCTAGCCAAAGAAGTGGAACGATGGAGCAGGGAGTTCTGATGGTCATCTTCTTTTAGGAAAAAGAAGAATTTATTCACTCCAGACTGAAAGCTAAAGGACTGGGCCTACAAACTGAATCAGGTTAGTGCATTTATGCTTTGTTTTGGCTAATACTGTTTTGGCATGACCAGGTAGAAAGAAGGAATGTTGAATAAAGGAAGAAAGTTCAAGGGCATGTCCCAGCCTCTTGGGAGCAGACTGTACCTTTCTGTGCCCTTCACTCCTGCCAGGTCTCTTTTTCTCACTTGTCTCCAGGGATGACTTTTCCTTTGTATACCCCTCACCGTTGGGATTTCCCACAGGGCCATGGTTCCCGTTTTTCTCCTTGGTGGTATCATATCCTCTCAGGATTTTAGGTCCCTCCCTATTCTTTTTCTCCTTCAATACTAGGGATGAATCTGGGGCCTGTGCATACTAGGCAAATGCTCTACCTCTTGAGCTAAGTCCATAAGCCTAGGTCCTCTGATCAATGACTTCTAGTTTGAAATCCCAGGCCTCTGCAATCCCCTTCTCTCCCCCATGGTACACATACTTTCACCAGCTCATCTTCCTGGATCTCTGAGTTAATTTTACAAGGTGGAAAGCAGAGGGCTGTCCCTCACCCCTCCTCGCTACTTCAGGCTGATCTCTGGAACATCTCTTAACACTTTTGCCTCCCTGTCCTTTACCCACAGTTGAAGTTTAGGATCCTGTTAATGCTCTGCCTATTGCAGTAACTTTTTTTTTTTTTTTCCAGCTTTTAATCTTTAAATGAGAGGTCAGTGTACTTTTTCTAGAAAGGGCTAGATAGTAAATAGTTTAGTCTTTGTGGGCCATTAGAGGTGTCTGTTGGAACTACTCAACTCTGCTGTTGAGTAAAGAATAAATAAATGGGATTGGGTGTGTTCAATAAAACTTTATTTACAAAAACAGGTAGTGGGTTACAATTGGCCTGTAAACAAATTTGTCAACCCATTTGAATTTGCTTCAAATTCATTCTTTGCACCATGGCCAGACTATTCTACCCAAAATGCAAATCTGATTGTTTCTGCTCAGTGTCCATTCTTTCTTTTCTTGGAAGCACTGGAGTTTGAACTCAAGGCCTCACACTTGCTAGGCAAGCATTCTTACTGCTTAAGCCACTCCACCAGCTCAGTGTCAGTTCTTAGACCCTCTATTTACTACAGCTCTGCCACTCCTCTGGACAGGAGGCCTGCCTGGCGCAGCCTACCTGTCTGACCCCTCTCACTTGTTTTCTGTTTTGCCTTCCAAGCCAGGCCCTTGATGTGCTAGGGAAACCAAACTGCCTCGGTTCCCTCAATCTATCATGTTGTCATTTCCTTTTGTCTTGAAAGTCTAATGTTCAAAATAGCTTTTGTCATTTTCTCTTGGTGTTGATGTTAGTTCTTAATAACTTTTCATACTGTTCATTAAACAAATGGCTACTGGTAAAACATTCTGATGGAAAACTCCAGAACCTTTGATCCCAAGAGTCAAGTCTGTCATTGGGCTAAAGTACTGTCACTCTCCCTGCTAATCTCTAGCATGACTAGGATTTCTTTAGAAGAAAGGGCTGGGGAGAAGGAGTGATCTGGACACCAGACCCCTACTTCATTTCCTGTGTGCTGCCAGCTGGGGTCTCAGGGTACTGCATCCTAACAGTTAGCATAGGGATGGTAACTCCCAATTTAGGGTCCTGACTGTATACTGGGAACTGTGCTAAGTCCTTTGCATGTATCACCCACAGTGACCAAAGGAAGGAAGTACTGTTGTCTTTGCTATTTAACAAATATGAGGAACCTGAGCCTTAGGGAGGGCAGCCAACCTGAGATCACACAGTGAGGAGTGCGGCCTAGATTCCGCCCTAGGGAGCGGAGTTCATAGGGCCTGTTAACTCTCAGCAGTTCTCAGCTCAGCATGTGTGTGTTGTGCACGTGTCTGTGTGTGTGCATGCATGCATGTGTGTATGTTCTATCAGGTAGTATCAGTCAGGTAATGCTGTGGAAGTGCCTGGGAGACTAGCCTTTCTTAACAAAAGGAAAGTTTGTTTTAAGCCTTACTTAATATCACAGAATTCTCTTGGTGGCTCTGCTGAATATTAAAGACTGGCCTTAAATCAGGTTTTACAATTACAGTGGTAATGAAACATAACAGAATGTAAGGAGGAGGGGGAGCATGAGGGAGCTGCCCATTCTGGCAACTATTAAGACAGCTGTGGGGAGGGCTGGGGAGCTGGTGGTCAGAGGACATAAAAGTCTCAATTAGATGGGAGGAACAGTTCAGGAGATCTATTGGACATGGCGGTGACCATGGCTCATAATGGGTTATATTCTTGGACAATGGTAAGAGGTGATAAAAAGTGCTCTCATCACAAAAATGACATCTGGGTGGAGTGATGCATGCTAGCTAGCTGGATATAGTCATTCTACATTATGTATATACTTAAAGCACCATGTTCTACATGGTAAGCACATACAATTTTATCTGTCAGAGTTAAAAAAAAATAAGTTACCAGGCTGCAGTGAATGAAATGGGGGCTGTGTCACGTCTGTGACCAGAATGCACATCTTACACCTGCATGCACTTAACATGAGGCTAGAAGTCCCCCAGAGCCGAGGAAAGAAGAGGTTCACTTTGTAAACAGCGTTGGAGATGCTAATTACATTGGGCCTAAAAGAGTAAATTTTTATTTATTCTCTACAATGTACTTTCCAAATAGGTCAAAATTAATTATTAGGAATCAGTTGCTTATAGATTGAGGAGTTAAATACATAGCTCCTAGCAATAGAAAGTCTACCAGAGTAAAACTGACTCCATTATCTGAAGAAACTATAATTCCCAAGGTTTGACAGTGAGGACAGAGATTCAAGAACATGTGTGTTCATCACATTTCTGTCCTATAATGAAATAGCTGAGACAACTAACTTAGGAAGAGAGGAGGTTTATTTAAAGCTCTCTAAATAAACCCTCAAACTAGCTGGGTGCCAGTGGCTTACACCTGTAATTTTAGTTACTCGGGAGGCAAGATCAGGAGGATTGCAGCCCAAGCAAGTAGTTCCTGAGACCCTATCTTGAAAATACCCAACACAAAAAAAGGCTGGTAGGGTGGCTACAGTGGTAGAGTGCCTGCCTAGCAAGCATAAGGCCCTGAGTTTAAAACCCCAGAACCACAAATAAACAAACAAAGCCTCAAACTGACCACCTCCTGGCCAAGAAGCAAAAGAGATAGGGGAAGGGGCTAGGGTCCCACAATCTCCTTTGAGGGCACATTCCCAGTGACCTGGGGACCAAGCCTTTTCCACGTGGGCCTTTAGGGGACACTCCAGATCCAAATTATAGCAACATGGACCCCGAATGCATCCTGAGCTGTTAGGACTCCTTTGATCTGACTCTGGGCAGGAGCTTGTGATCATGCAGAAGAGGCTGAGAACCCAGGGGTGGGTGGTGTAGGAGCCCAGCCATGGTTTGTCCTTAGACAGTGGAACTAGGGAGGACTCAGGACTTCTTCCTTTCCATTTTATTTATTTATTTATTTATTTTGGTGGCAGCGGTGGGATGCGAACCTTCCTTTCCATTTTAAACTTCTTTCCTCTACTGTTTCACCCTTCTCTTGCTCCACTCTTCTTTCTCTCCTCCCAGTTAATCCCTCCTGTGTTCAGTGAAGCCAGCCTAAGGCTGGTCTTTCCCCAGGCAGGTTTGTATCACCATGATGGGCTGGAATCAGCAGGCGGAGGTATTGAATTAGTCTGGCTGCTGCCATGGAAACGCAGGGTGGAGGAGGAGGCCAGGAAGTGCTGGCCAGACAAAGGGGCCAGTGTCCAGGAAATATGCCATGAACAGCAGATGGACCAGTGCTTGCAGCAAAGGTGACATGGGCCATCTGGACTTGTAAACAAGCTGCAACAAATTTGTATTACTAACAACACCTATAGATAATGGCAGCATTATGCAAAGAAACAGTTGCTGAAACTCTAAATTTTATAGTGTATCTTAAGCAGCCAGGCATCATTCATCAAGCATGCTTTCTGAATTCATGGGAAAGGTTTTCAGTCAAAACTCAGTGCTGATGTAGCCACCTTGATGGCAGGTGGCAACATGGAATTCCTATCCCTTTTCTAGAAGGATCTAGCTGCACATGTTACACACAACACAAAGAAGCAGGAAAGTGCTGGCCATGAAATGTCTCTCTCAGAACTTATTATTAGCAGAAACTGTTAAATTTTGCAGTGTTCCTCGCACACTTTCTTTAATTGCAAAGGGGAAAGTGTCTCCATATGCAATAATTGTGGAAAGGGGTTGAGTTGCCAAACTCTGGAAACTCTGCAGGAGGATGGAAAAATTAATGATTTCATTGCACCAAGCAGAACGCCCTGATTTCAGTTCTGCTTGACCTCAAGTCAAATAGCACTAGTTGAGAAGGCGGTGTGGTAGGGGAGAGAATTCTTTCCTCTCATTTCTTTAATTACTCAAGTGTTTGTGCATTTGGAAAAAGAGGGTTCCATAGAGACGCATCCACTTTGTCAGCTGGCATTTGTGAGACACCCACATGGTTTCAGTAATGGGGCAATGAATTACGGTTTTTTTTCCTCTCTCTCTGTCCCTCCTCCATATTTCTCTTCCTCTTCTTCTCTTCTTCTCCCTCCTCCTCATCCCTCTTGCTCAAGCTTCTTGTTGTTCAGTAACAACAGGCAGTGTTGACAGGTGTAGCTCACGGGATGACATAGCATTTGTGTTTTCTTGCTTTCTGCTGAGCACTGGCCTGCAGGTGTCTGAGTGAGGTGGTCCCAGGTGTCTGAGAGCCCCTCTGGAGGGGAGGGCATCAGGTGTGGGCAGCTCTGCTTGCACCTGCCCCTTGGTTTCTCCCCTACCTGCACTGATGGTGGAGATGACAAGTGGGCCCCTGTTCAAGCCCTTCTCATGCCTCTCTGACTAGCACTCGGTCTGGGAACAGCCTTATGAGGCTGTGCTGTGGTGATCATATGCTACAGATGAAATAAGCATAGGAAAGTCAGCTCAGCCATGCAGCCAACTGGGGACAGAGCCTCACTGTGCCCATCCAGTAGAATAGCTGACAGCTGCTACCTGGTGACAGCGTTTCCCACT